GGGGGGGGCTGACATCCCCCACCTCCCCCCCAGCACCCGGAACGTGGCGAGGACAGAGTGTGATGGGGTGAGGGGGGGGGGTTGTGGTTATGGGAGGGGGGGTGATGGGTACATTCAGTGCTCTGCCCCGGGGGGGTCGCTGGGGCTCTTAGGGCAGGCTGGCCGTGGAGCTGCTGGCCGCGCTGTTGCGTTTCTGGAGGCATTTCACAGCGCTGGGCACCTGCAGGCCCGAGGAGACGTGGAAGCTGCCACACCAAACCTGGGGGGCACAGGGGCAGCATTGGGCATCAGGACCCCTCACAACCCCCCCCCACGATCCCACAGCCCCCCCCCCACCTCCAGCCCTCCTTACCATGAAGGCTGGCAGCACCGGCTGCGCAAAGCGAGCCTTGAAGGTGTGCAGCAGCTGCTTGGTGCGGGCGTTGTAGAAGGACAGGAATCCTGTGGGCACACATGGGTAGGTGTGGGGCACACATAGGACACAGAAGGGGGCACATGGAGCACACATAGCAGCACATATGAAACACACATATGGGCACTTAGGGGGCACACGCAGGGGCACACGCAGGGGCACGTGTGGGGCACAGATAGAGGGGGAATGTATGGAGCACATACAGGGACACGTGGGGCACCACAGGGGCACGTGTGGGGCACACACAGGGCATGTGGGGCATATATGAGGCACATCTAGGGACACACGTGCACACACAGGGGCACATGTGGGCACACAGCGGGGTGTTTGTGGGACAGATATGGGGCACACGGGGGAGAACATGGGGAACATGGAGACACGTGTGGGACGCAAAAGGGGCCACATGGAGCACACATGGGGCAAATGTGGGGCACACATAAGGGCACACGTGGGACATGAGAGGCACAGATAAGGGGCACGTGTGGGGAATAGAGGAAGCACACATAGGGGTACATGTGGGGCACACAGGGGCATATGTGGGGCACATACAGGAGCATGTATGGAGTATACAGGGGGGTGCATGTGGGGCACATGTGGGCACACAGGCGTGCTTGTAGGGCGCACACAGTCACACGTGGGGGCACACATATGGGCATGTGTGGGGCACACGTAAGGGCACTTATGGAGCACACAGGAAGGCACGTGAGGGGCATATGTGGGGCACAGATGGAACACACATGGGGCACATGTGGGACACTTGGGACACATCCAGGGCCACGTGTGGGACACGCATAAGGGCACATATGGAGCACATGGGGGGCACACATAGGGGCAGGTATGAGCTTAGGGACAAGCACGGGGCACACGTGGGGCACACAGCTCCACCTCTGCCCATCCAGCACCCCGGCAGCGCCCCGCACGCGGCCCCAGGAGCAGCTCCCACCTTCATGGAAGTTGCAGTAGACGCCGATGCAGTCGGGCACGGGCACATCCAGCACCTTGGCCTTGTTGGCGTGCTTGGCGCTGAAGCTGACCTGCAGCCAGTTGTTGAGGTGGAGGCACCACGACGCCGACGTCTTGCCCAGCTGATCGAACTTGCCCAGGCTGCGATACGCCACCCCGACGCCGAACGCTTTGCTGTCGCGGTCGTACCGCACCTCCCAGTAGTGGTCGTCGCCGTCGATCAAGGTGTCGCCTGTGGGCACACGGCTGCCACGTTCCCCCCCATCTCCGTGCCCCACGTTTCCCCCCTCCTCGAGCCGCGGCTGCCGCTCTCACCCAACACCGTGTAGGATTCGGCGGTGAAGCGATCCCTGCCGGCGCGGCCCAGCGACATCCGCTTGGGTGACTGCACAGCCCTGGGATGGAGGCAGGCGGTGAGGCCGGTGCTGCCACCAACATCCGGTGCTGAGCGGGGTGCTGCTACCTGGCGGGGGAGTTGGCGGGCGACGCAGTCCTGCCCTTCCCGTCCTTCTCCCTTGTCTTCACATCCTGCACCTTTCCGCCCGTGGCGTCCCACTCCACGCTGAAGTCCTCCACGCGCAGGTTCTGGTGGCACGTGCTGGCATCCAGCCGGAACATGAACGCTGGGGACAGCCACCATCAGTGCCACCCCCACCCCACCCCCCCCCCCGGGTGGCCCCCCCCCCCCCCCCGTCCCCCCGACCCCCCCATGCTGCCTGGCCTCGTGGCAGGGGCTGCCTATGGGGTTGGGGGCCCCAGGTTGGAATACCGGGGGGGCACACAGCCCCATGGTGGAGAGGGGGTCGGGGGGGGGCACGCAGCTCTGGTGGCACTACAAATAATAAAGCTGCCCATCCCACCACGCCTCCTCCATGTCACAGCCCCCACACACACCCGAAAGCCCCCCCCCCCCCCCCCCCCCCCCCCCCCGTGCTGCTGTCCCCAAATGCAGCTCACACCTCTATCCCGCTTTATTAAGGCCAGAAGCAGCTGTCTGTGGGGCGGCAGCGAGCCCGGCCCTGTGCCAGTGTTGGGGGGGGGCACAGGGAGGAGGGACCTGAGGGTCACAGGTGCCCCAGCATCCCAACCCAGCAAACTGTGAGGGTCTGGGGGGGGGCGGCCTCCCCCCCCCCCCCCCCCCCCCCGCCCGGCCGCCCCCCCCCCCCTGCGCCCACCTCTCGTCTCCAAAGTGACCGCCTCAGAGAACTCTCCGGCCACGGCTTTGTTGCAGGCCCGCACTCGGAAATTCATGTACTTCATGTCAAACTTCAGCCCTGCGGACGCACGCGGCGAGGTGACAAACTGGGAGCCCTGGGACAGCTCTGCTCCGCACCAACCGGCCCCGCACCCTCACCAGACAGAGTGTACTCTGTGCCCTTAATGCCCTCCACCACCATCCAGGGCTGCTCCTCCTTGGCTCGGGGCGGCCCCTCGAAGTTGGTCCTGCGGTACTCCAGCACGTAGTGGTCGATCTTGCTGTCCTCATCAGGCATCCTCCAGCACAGCGTCACGCAGTTATCGGCCACCAGTGACTCCGTCAGGTCGATCTCAGGGGTGCTCGGCACTGCCGGGAGGAGCAGCACGTCAGATCTGACCCCCCCCCTTCCCCAAACACAACATCCCTACAATGATAGAATCATAGAATCACAAGGTTGGAAACGACATATAAGATCATCCAGTCCAACCGTCTCCTCATCACCACTGCCACCACCAGCACTAAAGCACATCATGCAGCACCTCATCCAGGCATCTCTTGAGCACTGCCAGGGACGGCGCCTCCACCACCTCCCTGGGCAGCCATTGCAGTCCTGACCACTCTCTGAGAGAAGAAGTTCTTCCTTATGTCCAACCTAAACCTCCTCTGGTACAACTTGCAGCCATTGCCCCGTGTGCTGCTCGTTGCCTGGGAGAAGAGGCCAAACCCCTCTTCACCACAGCCTCCCTTCAGGAAGTTATAGAGTGCAGTGAGGTCTCCCCTGAGCCTCCTCTTCTCCACACTGAACAATCCCAGCTCCCTCAGCCGCTTCTCATAATCTTGTGCTCCAGACCCCTCACCAGTTTTGTTGCCCTTCTCTGGAGACGCTCCCTGCCCAACAGGGCACCCCCAGGTGTGCTGTGATGGGAGGGCAAACACCCTGAGAAAGCACCTATGGAAACCTGAACGCGTGGCACCCAGAGCTCCCTGGATGCAGCCCCTATGAGCACGCTGCCCCACGCACCCCAGCACAGCCCCACAGCTCCCGCTGAGTCCTCTGTGCTTCCACAAAGGCCACCAACCACATCCCCGCACCCTCCTCCCATGGGGGTACCTGGCAGGAAGGCGAGGGCTTGCAGCAGGCGGCGCTCCTGGGCAAAATCCACCATCAGGTGGCTCATGTTGTCGCTCACCTTGGCCTTGAGCGAGAGGCGGAAGGCGGGAGCCATCGTCACACTGGGACAAATGGGGACAAAGCATCAGCCAGGCTGGGAGATGGACACAGACCCCTCACCCCGACCGCCAGGAGGGATCTGAGAAGGGTGGGCAGCACCCTGCACCCGCATCCCCCCCCTCTGTAGCTGTGGGGTGAGGGCAGGGCGACGCCGACGCTGTAGGTTAGTGGGGCACGGGGGCAGCGGGGGGACCGTACCTATCCTTGATCTGTTTGGCAGCCTGGAGAGCGCAGAGGGAAAGAGGAGAAAAAGAAAGCAGGTGAGACAGCAGTGCCAGGAGCCAGCGTGCTGCAGCGTGTCCTGACATCGTGGCCTCACAGCACAGCATCCCTGCAGCATCCCTGAAGCATCCCTGCAGTGGCACCCACACGGCACAGCATCCCTGCATCCCCACAGCAGAACCCGCACAGCGCAGCGTCCCCTGCGCCCCACCGGCGTGCCATGCAGTGCAGCGTCCCCACGGCCCCATCCCAGTGCACTGACATCCCTTTATCTCCGATAACAGAAGGTGCCACGCAGCACCTGAGGCTCTGGGTGGTATGGGGGGGTCCCAGGCCCTAACCAAGCCTGGCAGAGGGCAAAGCCAGCCCAGCGTTAACGAGGTGCCCAGCACAGAAAGACAGGAGCGTGGCCGCCTGCGGCGAGCACAGTCAGAGCGGCACGAGCCAGAAGGTGAGGGGGGACAGCACTGCCCAACCCCCACCTCCAGCACACAGCGCTGGGGCAGCCGGGCAGGGATGGATGGCAGCTCCCAGCTTGTGCACCTGGGCGAAGTCGTGGTTGTTGGCCGTCGCCAGGGTCTGGTTGGCCGTCTCCAGCAGCTCCTCCGAGCTCTCCAGCGCTTTGGCACACGCTGCCAGCTGAGCCTGAAGGACACAGAGCTGCAGTGTGCGGTGGGGGCAGGCAGTGGGTGGGCAGGGCAGGCGCTCACCTGCAGCTCGTAGGTGCGGCTGGCGCGGTCCTGCTTGATCTTCATCAGCATGCTGTCCTTCAGCTCGTCCAGCAGCGCATACAGCGACTGGAACTCCCCCTCCAGGTCCTCCTGCACTCGTGCAGAATTGTCCTGGTGGTGACAGCACACGTCAGCAGGTGATGGAGGCGGCCACGAGCACCACCCCTCACTCTGTCCCCTTAGGGGACCCCGTGTGGCGGTGCTGGTGACGGGGGGGGGTGACACGCGGGGCGTTGAGTTACCTCCACATTCTGCAGCATCTGCTTGAGGGAGTAGATGAAGTTCTGGATCTCTTCATTCTTCACAGCCAAAGTGGTGATGATCTTCCGCAGCGCTTCCTGCCCGTGGTGTGGGGGGGGCACACCGTCAGTGTCCTCCTGGATCCCCTCTGAGCTCAGCCACCCCCAGGGTCCCCTCAGCCCCACACCCCCGACCCCACGGGACCCAGCACAGACACAGCAATGACTTGGCAGCGGGTGCGGGCGAGCTGCCAGCCGGGGGGGGGGCATGGGGGAGGGTCACACCAGCACTGCTGCTGTGCAGCCAGGCAGGATTGGGGGGTAGGGAGGGTGGAGAAGCTCCCTGCCCACACCTTTGCCCCTCCATCTTTAACCCCTTCATCCCCCTCCTCCAGCCCTCCTCCTATTCCCCCCCACCTGTCCCTCACCAGCTTCATCCCCTCTCTCCTCCATCCCTCCATCCCCATCCCTCCATCCCCATCTTCCCCCTTCATCCCCACTCCTCCATTCTCCTTTCATCCCAACTCCCTCCATCCCTTCCCCATCCCCCCCAAGCCCTGTGCGGTACCCGGCCCGGCCCCACCTGGTCGCCCATACCGGGCCGCCCCCACCGCCTCCAGGCCCTGCCGGCACCAACAAAAGGGGAGCGGTTCCGTCCCCGCTCCGCCCCGCCCGCAGAGCATGCCGGGAAGCGTAGTCCGCCTTCGAGGCACGCTGGGATGCGCCCTATTGCCGGAAGACGGACCGCGTGGCATGCTGGGAAGTGTAGTGTGGCCGCGGGGTGTGCTGGGATATGTAGCATTGGCTGCGGGTGGGCGCGGGGCATGCCGGGAAGCGTAGTGCGGCCGCGGGGTGTGCTGGGATAGGTCGTATTACCACGGGGCGGGCGCGGGGCACGTTGGGACGTGTAGTCCCGCGTAGGCCCCGTGCTTCTCCCAGAGGGCTGAGCCCCCCCCAGCGCAGGGCTGAGCCCCCAGGAGGAGCCGAGCGGCACCGCTGCATTCAGGCCCGGCTTCCCCCCCACATCTCAGCCCCCTCCTGGGGAAATGGGGCCCCCAACCCCAGGGCATGGGGGGATGGAGGAGGCTGCAGGATGTCTGGGGAGGGGAAGGAGCCCCCAGCGGGACCCCCACCCTCGTGGTTGTCACCGTGAGGCCACGTGGGCAGCAGTGCTCTGGGGTCAGGATGTGCCCCCAAAGGAGGGGTCACGGAATGGTGGCACATCTGGGTCAGCTCAGTCCTCGTACTGGGTGCTGGGGTGGGATGTGGGGTCGGGATCTGATGGGTGTCAGGGTCTGATAGGGGTCGGGGTCTTATAGGGGTCGGGGTGTGATGCTGTGCTGTCCCTCACCCCGCACAGCTCCCTGCGCTGCTACAGGAAGCCGTGGCGTCACGGTGAGGGTGACAAGCAGACCAGGTGCTGTGGGGACAGCGGAGAGGACAGTCCAGGGATGAGGACCTCATGGGGACAAAGGAGCCGTGGGGATGGTGCCTGTGTGGGGATGTGGAGGTTTGGGGTGCTCATCCCCCTCCTCAGTGGTGAGTAGTGAGGGTATGAGGGGGTTGGGGGACTTGGGGCTATGGGGTGGGGATGGGGGGAAACAGAGGGGCTGCGGGGATCAGCCTTGGATGGGGGGCTGTCTGGGGTGTGTGTGTCCTGAGGGTGGAGAGGGAGCAGGGAGGGGTCTGGGACAGAGACAGACAGACAGACAGACACGAGGACAGGATGGGGTCAGAAAAGATCGCTCAGACGCCACCTTCACCCCATTCCCCCGTGCTGCTGACCACATCCCCATGTGTCACATCTCCGCAGTTCTCAGCCCCTCCAGGTACAGTGACCCCCCCTCCCCTCCCCTTTCCCCCCCCCCCCCCCCCCCCCACACTCTCCCTTGGCAGCTGTGCCAGCGCCTCACCTCTCAATGCTCCTACATCCAACCCAGTCAGAGCAGGGACAGAGATGGGGACAGTGGCCGTGGGGTGGGGGGCACGGCAGAGACAGTGAGGATGGGTGAGGAGACGTGGGGAGGAAAGAGAGCTGAACAGGAAGGGGACAGCGGCGGTGAGGACAGGATGGGGACTTGTGGGCAGTGGCTGCGGCCAAGCAGAACACGCGAGCAGAACAGAGGGCGTCCCAGCATCCGCATCAACAGCAATGGGGCCGTGGGGCACTGGGGGGCCTCAGGAAAAGCCACGTGCCCAGCCATCATCCCCAGAGCCTCGTGGTGACCCCAGTGCTGCTCCCAGCAGTGGGAGCCCTGCAGGTGAGCCAGGAGCCGGCCGAGCTGTGGGTGGCAGCGGGCACCAACGTATCCCTGCGGTGCCAGCTGGTGACAACAGAGCCGTGGTCCATGGCCCGCATCGCATGGCTGAAGGACGGGGAGCACGAGGTGCTGTGCACCACCCGCCTGTATCCCAAAGCCGCTGTCTTGCCCTGTGCCACCCCCCGCCTCCAGCTCGCATGGAGCCCACCCCACGCCGAGCTCAGCCTCCATGGGGCACAGCAGGGCGACGCAGGATGCTACGTCTGCTGCTTCACCATTGAGAAGCCCTACCTCGCCGTGGCCACCTGCGAGCAGCGTGTGAATGGCACGCTGCTCCACGTCAGCACAGGTATCCGGGAGGCACAAGGGGGTGGGCTGTGCTCTGCTGCTCCCCCCAGGCACCTCTGGCAGCATTTAGTGGGGTCTGTGGGACGTGGGACCCCCAGGAGCTGTGATGCGGGGTCTCTGGATGGCAGCACATCCCTGAGCGCTCGCAGGGTCACAGCAGGGATGGAGTGAGGATGGGCACAGCGTAGCTCTGACTCTGCTTTCCCTTTGCTGCAGGAGCTGATGGAGGTATGTGTGTCCCCAGCGTCCCCCCATTCCCCCCCCCGGGTGCTGGTGGCAGTGAGGCAGCGGCCCAGCTGGCTGTGCTTGCAGAGCTGAAGCAGAAGCTGTGGGGGGCTGTGGGGGGCGCCTTGCTGCTCGTCGGGCTGATCTCCCTCGGCTGCTGGTGCTGCAGGAGGAAGGCAGGTAACCCCCCCCACCCTGAGCAGCGCTGTGCCCACACACCCTGAGTGCATTCACCCCACACCCACCCACCCACACCCCTGCCCGGATGCCGTCCCCAAATACCCCAATCGTCCCCACCCCCTCTGCCCCAATCCCCCCCCACTCTCCTCCCACTTGGAAAACACCCCTCTGCCCGTGCACCCCGTGCACCCCGTGCCCCACTCCCCTCTTCCCTTCAGACCCCTGGCTGCCCCACTGGGTGCCTCTGGGGCTGGGGGCTCCCCTGCTGGGCTGTGCCTATGGGGCCGTGCCTGCCCTGCACCCCACAATGCCCACACTGTCCCCCAGACACCTCAAACATCTACGTGAACATCGTGCCCCGCCGGACCCCGAGGAACAAGAGCCCCCAGGGAGCAGCTGCTGGAGGACAGTGCGTACAAGGGGGGCTGGAGCGAGCATGGAAGCCCCCCAGCCCTAAGGGGTGACCCCCCCGTGCCCCACAGCCCCCAGTATGAGCAGGGATAGGGTGCGAGCCATGCACTCCGCTCTGCTTCACACAGGAAGAGCCCCCACTGGGTTGCAGCATCCTGCCGTCTCGCTTCCTGTCTTCTTGCGGCGCCTTCCTGCCCCCCAACATCCACCCCTGGGGGGCAACCGCAGCCCCCGGGACCCCCAGCACAGACCCTGCGCACGGGCAGCCCTGGGGCTGGGGGCACAGCATGATCCCACAGCCCCCCGAGTCACAGGGGAGCCGCCGTGCCGCCCCATGTCCTCATTTCCCTTTGCACTCAGTGCCTGCAGAAGGGCTCAGCCCCATCCTGGCTCAGCCCCACCGGGGGGCACTGCTGTCAGCCCCCCTGCAGGGCATGGGGCGGTGGGGGGCCAAGGGTGGCTCTAAGCCCAGTGCTGGGCCACGTGGGGGGACACATCCAGACACCAACCCTACCCCCAACCCAACCTGATCCATAATCCTAACTCTGACCCTGATCCTAACCCCGACCCTAACTGAAACCCTAACTCTGACCCTAACCTGAACCTAAACCTGACCCCGACCCAAGCCCTGATCCTAACCCCAACCCAACCTAATCCATGACCCCAACCCAACCTGATGCCCCAACCCTAATCCTAACTCTGACCCTGGTCCTAACCCTGAGTAAAACTCAAACCCTAACTCTGACCCTAACCTGAACCCAAACCTGACCCCTAACCCAAACCCTGACCCTGACCCTCACTCTCACCCTCACCTGAACCCAAACTCAGTCCCTCTCCTAATCCTAATTCTGACTCTGCCAAACTCAAACCCAATCCCGAACCTAAACCCTGCCCCAGACCCTGCCCCAAACCCAGCGCTCCCGTGGTGCAGCAGGATGGAAACCCCCCCCCCCCCCCCCCCTTCCCCCACACAATGGAGTTCAGCCCTAAGACGCACCAGAGCCTTTAATAGGAACACCAGGGGGGGGGATCCCCGGCACCGTGGGGCTCAGGGTGGCTGTGCAGCCACAGGGTAGAGCAGCGAGAGGTGCCGGGCGCCGCGGACGGGCAGCGCTCGCGCCGTGTAATGCCGCACGGCCTCGGGCACGGAGGGGAACGCGGCCCCAGCGCGGCCCAACACAAAGTGCTGCTCCCGCGTCCGCGTCAGCTTCACGTGCACGAAGCCGTGGCTGCTCCTGGGGGGCAGAGCAGGGAAGGGGCAGCGCGTGCTCCTACGCAGGGCACACGACCCCGTGGGGCAGCCCCGCGTTGTACCTGAGTGACAGCGAGTAATCCTCGGGGCTGGTCTCGCAGTCCCTCACCAGGAAGCTGCCCTCGCGGCACAGTGCCAGCAGTGTCTCGGCGCCCGCGCGCCCAATGGGGCCGTGGTACCACCTGTGTGGGGCACCGTGGGGTCACCGACGGCATCCCAACGTGGGGCACCGCGTCCCGCCTGCGCCGCTTGGGGACCAAACTCGACGTGGGGGCACCGAGGGGCAGTGGGGAGCCGTCTGTGCCACCGGGATGTTGGCTGTGGGGCATCTGCTGTGCTATGGGGTGTCCGTGCCACGGGGACCCACCTCCACCATGGGGACCCATCTGTATTATGGGGACCCAACTGCACTACAGGGACCATCTGTGCCATGGGGACGTCCCTGCTATGGGGACCCATCTCCACTACGGGGACACAACTGTGCCATAGGGACCCAACTGCACCACGGGGACGCATTTCCACTACAGGGACCCATTTGCATCATCGGGTTGTCCACGCCATGGGGCACCTTTTGTGCCATGGGGACATCCATGCCATGAGGACCCATCTGCGCCATGGGGCACCTTCTGTGCCATAGGGACCCAACTGCACCACAGGGATCATCTGTGCCATGGGGACGTCCCTGCTATGGGGACCCATCTCCGCTACGGGGACACAACTGCGCCATGGGGCCATCCATGCCACGGGGACCCATTTCTATCATGGAGCACTTTCTGTGCCATAGGGACCCATCTCCAGTACAGAGACCCATCTGTGCCATTGGGATTTCCATGCCATGGGGACCCATCTCCACCTTGGTGACCCATCAGGGATGGCCTCTACCTCCTCTGAACCATAGGGACCCCACTCCCCCCCTCCCCACCCCCAGGGCCGTGTCCATGCCATCCATGACGTTTGGGTTCAGGTTAGGGTGAGAGTTGGGGTTTGAGTTTGGGTCAGGGCTATGAATCAGTTTGGCTTAGTGCAAGGTTCAGAGCCAGGGTTAGGATCAGGGTCAGGGTTCTGGATCGGTGCCACCCCACTTGGGACGGGACCCCCACACTCACACTTGCTTCTCCAGGGGCAGCGAGGTGTCCACGTGCCCCGGGCTGGGGGGGCAGATCGGCCTCGTGCCCGGGGGGGGGCGGGGGGGGCGTGCTGGCTGTCGGGACAGACTGGGGGAGCGCTCAGGACTCTCAAACTGCACTGCAGGGGACACAGCGTGCTGTCACCCCACTGAGGAGTCCCAGCATCCCAAAGTGGTACCCACAGGGGGGTGAGGGATGCTGGGGCTGCGGGGTGGTGCCTATAGGGGCTGAGGATGTGGGGTTATGGGGTGGTACCCATCGGGGCTGAGGATGCTGGGGCTGTGGGGTGGTACCCACAGGGGCTGGGGCTGTGGGGGCTATGGGTACCTATAAGGGCTGTGGATGCTGGGGCTACAGGGTGGTGCTTATAGGGGCTGAGGATGTGGGATTATGGGGTGGTACCCATAGGGATTGAGGGTTGCCGGAGCTACGGGGTACTACCTATAGGGGCTGAGACTGTGGGGTTATGGGGTGTACCCATAGGAATTGAGAGATGCTGAGGCTGTGGGGTGGTACCCACAGGGATGAAGGGATGCTGGGGCTGTGGGGTGATACCCATAGATACTGAGGGATGCTGGGGCTGCAAGGTGGTGCCTATAGGGGCTGAGGATGTGGGGGCTGTGGTGTGATACCCATTGGGGCTGAGGATGCCGGGGCTGTAGGGTGGTATCCACAGGGATTGAGGGATGCCGGGGCTGTGGGGTGGCACCCACAGGGGCTGGGGCTGCGGGGTTGGGGCTATGGGGTGGGAGCGACGTCCACGGGATGCCGGCACCTGCGAACGCCCGTGAGATGTGATCCTTCTTCCACTCCCAGGGCTGGTCGTACTCATCGGCCGGCCGCTCGTCGTCGCGGGGCAGGCGGCTGTCACGAGCTGCGCCCCCCCCCGTGCCCTCACCCACCTTCTCCCATCCCTCGCAGGGGGTGTCGTAGAGCTTTGGGCCCCGCTGCGTTTTCACCCGCTGCCCCTCGCCGTGCCGTGGGCGCCCTGGGGGACGGGCAGGGCTAAGGGGAGCAGCGGGGGGGACGGGGACGGGGGGGGGCTGCGGGAGCCCTATGGGGACGGGTGTGGGGGGGAGGCGGTGCGGTGTCACCCACCTGCAGCATCGCGGGGGTCTTCATTGCCGCCCTCGGGCACCGAGTCCTGATCGAAGGGCTCCGAGTATTCGCTCTCGTTGGGGCCCTACAGAGCGGTGGGACGGGACCCCCGTGGAACCCCCCCGCGTCCCCCCCCCCTCGGGTCCCCTGCTCGGGTGCTCCCAGCTCTTTCCCTCTGTTCCTTTGTGCCCCATCCCTCTCCTCTCCCCCCCCCCGGATCTCCCCCATCCCCCACCCCAAATCCCCCCACCCCCCCGCTTCCCCCTTCCCAATTCCCTCTCCCAGCCCCCCGTGCCCCCCATT